AAATATTGCTCATATTGAAAATTATTGTTCAATTTATTTTTCTTACATATTTTTCTCTTGATTTTCGGTAAATATCCAAGTATTCAATCCTGGAATTAAAGAAATAATATCTAAAAACTTCAATAGATCAATCAATATGTTCACTGTTGCAATGAGAGAAACTAATAATCAATTTATTGTTCAATGTCGATAAAAATAGATTCTGTTCTGACTTACTATTACCATAATAAATAAACTCATCAGACATAAAACAATCTAATTTTTACAATCGACATCACACCAACGATTGGCAATACAAGATAATAAAAAATCCCACATAATAAGTATCACTATTGGTAGATAAACTTCGCTTTTTTATTATTTATGTGTCGTCACTCCTAAATATATTAAAACAATTTTTTTATATCTCTATAAACGATTTTTTTTTCGTGAAGAGTTTCTTCATTCTACATACCTAATCGGTTATCTTCTACCTTATGGTGTCGATATAAGGGAAACAGCAGCAACTCTCCAAGCCTTTCGGTTGGACGCTGTCCTTTCTGCCTAAATACAATCCATGTTTCTCCTTTTAACACTTATAACTTTGCTGTTCTGATTGGCCTTTTACCCTTACGTTGTTTGCTCACTCCCGCGGTCCAAATTTATTTCAACTTTACTCACATTCCACCTCTGTGTTTGATTATTCCACTTATTTACTATTTTCGTTGTGATGCTGATCTACCTTTTCTTCTATTTTCTAGTACATAGTTAAATGTCTATTTTAACCATAATACTTCATTCATTAGCTTACATGTCTTCTTTTTATGTAGACACGACACTGTTTTTGAATGTGCAATGTGTCAGTAAGTGGTCGTTCCTTCATTTTTTGTGCTTTTCCTATTGATTGTCTTCCTATTGTAAAACCGTCTCTTGCCGTCTTTACTACTGTATTTGTTGTCATTTGGCTTATCTGAACAGTCCATTCTATTCCTTACCCAGTGCTTGATGAAAGTGTTTTCATCTATGCTCTTTTTAACATCCTTTTTGTTCCTCTCTGTTTCAGGTGGTGTTTCTGTCGCGTATGTCATTATTGGTCTGATGATTGTTTTGTAAATTCTGCCTTTTATTTCTTTCCCGATATTTTTATTGCTCCATATTGTTTTATTCAGGCAACCTGGTGGTTTGCTTTGCTGTATTCACTTGATTTTACACTTCTGTTTAAAAATTTTCGTAAGTAGATAATTTGATGCCTAGATATTTAAACTCCATCACTTGTTCTATTATCTGACCTTTCAGCTCCAATTTACATCTTAGTAAATTTGCTGTTAATACCATGCATTTTGCCTTTTTTGGGGAAATAACAAGTTAAATTTTCTGGCGATTATATTAAATTTGTGCAGCATACGTTGTAAATCATCTTCACTGTGAAAGGATGGTATTGCGTCCTCTGCATCGCAGATTATTTTTAGTTGTTTTTCTCCCATTTAATATCCTATTTTAGTTCATCATTATCATCATCATGTAGCGCTACAACCCTGGGTGGGTCTTGGCTGACTGTACAACATTTTTTCAATTTGTTCGATCTTGCATCAACCTAGGGTCAAATGGAATGTTCATTTTCCGGAGATCTGCTTAGATGATAGCTCTCCATCGCATTATGGGACGTCCGAGTGGTCTTTTGCCGGTGGGAATCTCCTCCTATACCAGTTTTACAAGTGTTTCGTTATGCAGTCTGTGCACGTGCCCTGCCCATCTTAGTCGCTGTGATTTTATTTCTTGGACAATATCGTTGGACAATATCGTCGTCGTTGTAGAGTGCTTTTAATTCGATATTGGTTCTGATCGTATACTGGTTTATGGTGATGTCATGGTGAGGTCCGAAAATTTTTCGTTCAAAGCGTCTGAGCTTTTCTTCGTTTGCTTTGGTCATGGTCCAAGTTTCGCATCCGTATGTTATTACAGGTCTGACGATGGATTTATAGATTTTGATCTTTGAACTTGTGAGATTTTTTTATTTTATGAGCTTATCCAGTGCAAATAGACAGCGGTTTGCAAATTCGATTCTTTCTTTTATTTCTTCAGTGACATCGTTGTCAGCTGTGATTACGGCCCCCAGATACTTGTACTCTTTCGAAATTGAAGGTGTTGACCCTCACATTTTGTCTTATTCTGTCTCTTCGTGTCGTTCTATTTATACACATATATTTCGTCGTCTCTTCATTAATATTCAGCCCTACTTCACTTGTTGCTCCTTCCACCTTGTTGAAAATGTCTTTCGTGGATAGGATGGAGTCTCCCACGAGATCTGTGTCATCTGCATATGCGAGTAACAGCTTGGGACTTTGAACCGATAGCAATTCTGTTTTTATTTCGGCCGACCTCATGGCTTTCTCTAATACAAGGTTAAAAAGTAGTGAAGGTAACGCATCAACCTGTTTAAGTCCACTGTTGCTTTCAAAGCTGCCAGACAGTTTATTATTTACACGTACTTTAGATATTTCACCCTCCATACAGACTTTGGTCATCCGAATGAGTTTCTTTGGTATTGAGATTTCCGCCATGGCAGTCCATACTTCTTTCTACGCTATCATATGCCTGTCAAAAGTCTATAAAAATATTGTGTATGGGTCTGTTATACTCCCATCCGTTTTATAGAAGTTGTCTCAGCGTGAATAGTTGATCTATTGTTGATCTGTTTGACCTAAACTCGGATTGATATTCGCCTAGGACATTTTCAGCATAAGAGATTAGTCTACTATCTATTTCATCTAAGAATTATGTTTAAGAGTGTTTAGAAGTGAGATTCCTCTATAATTCGCGCATTTTGTTTTTTTTTATGTTTTCCTTCCATCGTGCTGGTATTCTTTCTTCTAACCATATGTGCGTTATTAGCTGGTGGGTTTGGCGATGTAGTGCGTCTCCCTCATATTTCAGAAGTTCTGCTGGTATCTCGTCCGTACCCGGCGCTTTGTGATTTTTTAGCTTATTTAAGGCCTTTTGGGTTTCTTCAAAGGAAGGATTTTTGACTGGCATGTCCTTTTTAGTTCCTACTTTTTTTATTGTTCCATCCTCAAATTAATTCCTCTGCAATATTTAGAGTCCGATTTGTCTCTCTTTTGAATAAGAGGTATTATGAGGCTTGATCTCCATTCTTCTGGTGATTTTCTATTTTTTAATTTCCTTAATTCTTCCTTTGCCTTTTCCTTCTTAATATTTATTTCTTCGTTTGTCGTCACCTCTTCGGAAAATACTTGAAAACCTGAAGAACAGAAAAATCAGCAAGTAAAGACGGGATAGCAAACGAGTTACTGAAATATTGTGGAGCAGCAATGACAGAACATTAATTAATAAAATTATAAAACACAATAAAATACCGGAAGAATAGAGAACAAGCGAACTAATTCTACTATTCAAAAAGAAGATATTGTAATAGTTAAGACAAGTAATTAAGACAATTTTTTTTTTTTTTTGAAAGACACAGCGATTTGTTTGTAGGTAGTGACAGTTTCGCATATTGTGAACATGAACTGCGTTATTAAATGGACACTTTTTTGTTAATTTCAGTTAGAACTTGAAATATCGACAGAGTGGTATCGGCATAATTTTGAATTTAATAAAAAAGGTCGCTAGTGTTCTAGATAACCAACCCCTGCTAAAATCCTGACAGCTTTCTTTTGCATTCTAAAAATTTGAAGAGCGTTTGTTGTTCCCCATATGATTACACCATAGTTTATGTGAGAGTGTAATAAAGAAAAATATGTCATTTTTAATGTTTCAAAGTTGACAACCATTGCTAGTTGGCGAATTACAAATAATGAACTTGATAGCTTTTTCCTAAGTTGTGATATATACACCGACCAGTTGAGTTGATTATCTATGGCTATTCCCAATAGTTTAACAATCTCTTTGTTCTCTGGATCATTGTATAAATTACTTGCAGATATACTCAAATTTTGCGTTATATCAAAGTTAAGTTTTAGTTTGTTTGCAGCAAACCATGAGCTAGATTTGGTAGAAAGTTCCTCATGAGACATTCTTTAATTACCATTACTTTTTTCTGATATAAATTATGTCGTATAATCTGCGAATTCTATGGTTTTGTACGGAGATATGAATTTAGGAAAATCGTTGACATAAATCATAAGTAAAAGAGTTCCTAAGACCGAACCTTGTAGGACTCCGTGTTTTACGGATAGAAAATTTCAGAGATGACCTGTAGATACTACCGCCTGGTATCTGCTACATAGATCAGAAGTTATAAGTTTAAGAGGAATACCTCTAATTCCTAGTACTTTAATTTGTGGAGGAAAATATCGTGTGAAACTCAATCAAAAACCATCGAAAAGTCGCAAAAAAAATTGCTATGCGATTGCCGCTTTCAGACACCTCAATTACCTCGCTCACAACATTAAATACTGCCATTAAGTACCGCTCGTCCTGGAACGAGCACTTCTGAATACATATTGAGTTGCTAAAGTAATTATTTGATTTAAAATAAGAATAAAATTGTTGTTTGATAACTTTTTTAATCACTTTGTCAAAAGTAGAAACAATGTTTATGGGTCTGTAATTGTCAGTTTTTGAGGGAACGCCTTTTTTCTCTTCCCTTCAGGAAATACTGCAGGGGATAGAATTAAATAAATAAGATTAGTGAAAGGTGTTGAAACTATTTGAAAAATTTCTTTTAAAATTTTGCTCTGAATTTCGTGAACGTCCCTACAATTAGAATTACTAAGAGACTTTAAAGAGACTATGAAGGATTGGGCTTTATAAGAGACTATGTAGGGTTGGACCCAATACAATTACCTGCGTAGCCTTGATGAAGTGGATGAAGTTTGATGATGTGATTCTGCTAGTTATATCCATGAATTGTTAAAACATAATAAATGATCGGTGGTATTTATTTTCTTTGTATAAATATATAAACCGGTACTTGTGTAACTGATAAAAAACTGGGTTTTCTGAAAATAAACTTACTACATTAATTTATATCAAATTTACCATATTTTCTTTCTTTTCAGGGCTCTGCTGATTCTAACTATTCTCAACCATCATCAGATCTCTCTCTTGACGAAGAAAAGGAGACGCTACGCCGTGAAAAGGAACGACAAGCCCTTAGTCAACTCGAAAAAGCAAGGGTAAGTTTCACATCTCTGATCTATATCTTATATAAGTAATATATAAGTAATAATAAATAAGTAAACATAATTACTAAAGTTCCCTCAGGCCCCTACAAGACCACTCAGGACTCTTTTTACATATGTTGAATATTTAGAACAATTTTCTAGTTATGTCCAATTTTTTACCTTTTTATTGTTATACATTGTTTTTTTTTTATTTTTTAATATTTCTTCTACTAAAGTTCGATGATTACCACTTACTTAACACTTATGTAAGACACTTATGTGTTGGACTGTTTCATTCCCATTTGATAAAATGTAATCTATTTCGTTTCAATTGACACTGTATAGACTTGCCCATGTTCATTTTATTCCATGAGCTTTTTGACGAATTTGGCTCCAGTAATGTTGGGCATCACCCTTCCAAACGCAACCGTACTATTCGCAGCCTTCCGGGCCAGCTTCCGCACATGGTCCCCCATTTTTCATTCTGGTGCAACGTCACTCCTAGATACTTTACGTGTTACTTGGGAATTATACATGCATGTAGTTCCATACTTTACCTGTTTCTTTTCTTCTTTAGAATGATGGCTTTGGTTTTCTTTGTCGCAGTCAGTGCTGCGTCATCCATTTCTTTATGAAGTTGTTTGCGTTCCAAACCCGGTATTTGAGAGCTTGCTCATTTCGGACTACTACCACTACAGCGAGGTCGTTTTCGAATGCGAAGGCTGTTGTACCCTCTCCGTATTCACAGTTCACAACCCCTTTCATATGCTAGGTTCCATAGCGTCGGGCCAAAGATATTTCCTCCAGGGGAACCCCAGCCGTCACGTCGACGATCATGCCCTTCTGCATCATAATCCTTATCTCGGACAGATACTTTGTCACCATATTCATCAGGTATCCAGAACAGTATCTTTTCCATTGCCTTCATTACTTCGTTCCACTGCAGCGTATTGAATGCAATCCTAACATCGAACAATAGCAGGACCGGTCAGCGATCTTCATCCCCTCTATTGTATAGTGCTTCGAGTACACTCATGATTGCATTAATTGTGCTTTTCCCTTTACAAAAATCAAATTACCTCCGAGATAAACCACCCGACCTCTCAATCATGTCGTCTGTGCGTACTCGCAGCATCCTTTCATACAGCTTACCGATACATAGCAGGATACCGATAGGACGATACTTTTCTCCAGCCTTGGGGAGCAGTACTAACCTCGATGTCCTTCAAGGTTCAGGAAAGGTCTGTACTTCTAGCAGTGCATTCGTCTTCCAGAAGCCACGTGGGCAGCAAAAGATGACCTACTAGTGTCTATCAGAGACCCTAACAAAACGTGGGAATACGCAAAGAAGTGAATCACCGAGGCCATCAAAAAGACAGACCCCAAAGAAAAAATAGATAGTAAAAACATTGGATGGCTGAAGAGCCTGTCAACAATCACATCACTCAACGGTACATTAAATTTAATAGCAAATGAAATAGAGGTAGGATGAAGAGAAAAAAAATTATATTAAAAACATATGTGCTCAACTAGAAGAACATGCTAACCGCCAAGAATCTAGAAAACTTTTCTCAAAAGTCAAATATCTAGTAAGATAATTTAAATCGCAAAGATATACAAAAATAATAACGGCAATACCATAACAAACCCAAACGGTATGAGATTTGGACCTGGTTTTCTTGGGTTATATAATGACAAGCTAATACTTAGGAATAGCTAAATTAGATTTAAATTTTTTAAAACTTAAGACTTCTGTCCAGTACGTCAAGTCATGTATTTAGGTGCCGGAATGACTACCATTGCAAAAACATGCTTGGAAGATGCTCACTATCGGATATGGAATTAAGCATGAGCCAGATACGTCGAAGAAACTAAATATGTATGCGACTAAAATCAAATTTATATAAAGTGAAACCAATCTGTTCTCCAGTTCCAGTAAAAATTACAGCCAATGTAGAAAAACTCCATAAATTTTTTGCCAGTTCTTGGTATATAAACTTGGTAAAATGTATAGGTTGTAGGTTTATTTCTTGTATTTATACACGTGTAGATATCTAATATCATAATATTTATTTTTAGACGAAACCGGTAGCGTTTGCCGTCAGGACCAACGTTGCTTACGACGGCTCCGTTGATGATGATTCTCCGGTACACGGTTATGCCATTTCCTTCGAAGTTAGAGATTTTTTACACATTAAGGTAAGACTAAATTCTAAAAATTCGTATTTTTTTAAATTCCAGTAAAAATATACAAAATCTTTTTAATGAATGCTTTTAAAAGTCATAAGATAGTTGCTGTATGTGTGTACTAAATGTATGAAATGTACAATGCTATTAATGAAAGCTTGTGTATATCTTATGATGCATATGCTGGTATTGACAAATTTTGTGAGAGAATTAGAATATTTGTCTTGTTTGTCGTCATATTATAAAATTATCTGATCATTTGATAAAAAAACGTTTCAATACTTCCTTTACCAATGAACAAGATAAGAACAAAAAATTATTAATGTCACTGCTTGATGTTAACTTTAATTAGACACCCTGTATTGTATAATATATATTTGTATGATATGTACATTCTCTCTTACCAACTTTTAAAGATATTTTTCCCATTGTGTTAGATTTATTAATATGGGTTTATATCTTTCTTCCAAATCTTAACGCTCTGAAAAACTCCAACTCTCAAAGCTTTTTAAATTTCCTAATCTAAAATCATACGTACCGAGTTGTAGTGTTTGTACCCTAATTCAAAAACGTAGTATTAAAGTTTAAGCCAGATTTGGCGTTATCGTTGGAAAATAGGTTATTGTTGTATACGTATTTGTTTTGTAGCACACTTGCAACGATCATCAATTAGATATAGATAAAACACTTAAAAACCTGATGTTAAAATAGATATCGAAAAGTAGTTGTACAAATGAGTAATTTTTCCATGATCGTATTAGCTAATAATGCAGTATTTATTGCATCATAGCGAACAAATAAGATTCTATATTTATGTCAAGTATAATAAAAAAATTATGATAAAAGACATTGAAAGGTTTCTATTATTAAAAAAATTTTTATCATACATGGTAGATAGGTTCCACAGAAAAGCGCATATAAAAAAATCGCATAAAAAAAGACAATACCTGTCTTGAAAAGGTAGGTGCACACGTCCCGTAGCCTTCTAAAATTCCATAAAATCAAGACAAAAACAAAAAAGTTTCCAGAAATTAAAAGAAATTGGCTGCATGATAAATTATTTCAAATATCTGAAAGAAATTCATAGAAAAGCTCAAAAAAAACTGGTCCTTGTGACTATTTATATTAATTCATATCGTTTCGTATAACAGGAAAACAAGGGAACCTGTTTATTTTATTAGTATTGTTGTTGAAATTAAACTAATTATTTATAAACTTCGTCTGCTTCGTCTTCTGTTTAAAGTTATCTCGTTCTAAAACGTGTTTAAGATAGCTTATTCTTCAATACTTGTTCAGTTTAAATTAAAATGTTTTTCTATCAATTTTCTAACATAAACTACTTTCTCTTAATTTACTTATAAAGTATATTTTGGTATTATTTTAGGACAAAACTGGTCCAGATTTTTATTCGTGTTTGTTAATATGTATATTTATTTATATCGTGTCGACAAAAAATAAAACGGGGGAACCTGTTTATTTTACTACTATTGTTGTTGAAAGTAAACTAATTATTTTTAAACTTCGTCTGCAGGTGGATGTTTTCCTAATTTGTTTCTTAAATGTGTTTAAAATAGCTTATTTCTTCAATATTCTTCTAGCTTAAATCATAATGTTCAAATCAATTTTCTAACATGCTTTTTATTGTTTTACTTGTAAAGTAAATATTTGCATTTTAAAGCACGTGCTGTAAGAGATTTATTTATTAAGAGCGATCTCAACATTATATCTCCTGATGTATTGCTACAAAGTACATAATAATGTTACTCGATCTTTACTTACTTTATGTCCACTTGCAGTTTTTTCATCCTTTGCGATGTAAGTACGGTTAGGCTTTTTTTCCAATACAGTCCCGTTTCATCAGCGTTAAATACTGGATCGGCACAATAGTCCCCATCTTCAATAATTTTCGCTAGCTCGTATGGAAATATTTTTGCTGCTGCTTTGCCAACTGTAGCACTCTCTCCTGTGATCTTGATTTTACGAAATGCATTTTTATAAACCCGATTAGCCAGTGTTTGCTAGCTGTAAATTTTTTCCATCTTGGGAAGTGGAAGTTGGTGGCTTTGACTGTTTCATTAACTAATAAAACTGAAGAGCTTTTTCCTGGATTAAATAACCACTTACAGAAATTCTTCTTTGAATTAGTTCCTTAATCCAAATTGCCATGACTCTTTCTGTTCTTTCTAATAATACATCCCTTGAGTAAGATGAAAATTTGGCGCTTAATTTTGTACCAGAAATTATAGATTTTTTCATAATAACTTCATTCTTCTTAATTGCTCTTGTAGCATAGGATGTGGGGGAAAAAGTACTCTCTAATCCAGGAATTTATGTAATGTGGCCTAGGTTATAAAGGGCAACCTCAGGAGCAATCCCCAGTTCATTCAACAAAAAATGTTTGGTTATTGTTTATTTATGAGCTTTTATGGGAGCAAAATACGTATTTTTTGAGTATTTTTTATTTTTTGCCTAAAGTAAGTGTTGTAATGGGTAATTTATGTATAAATTATGAAAGTACTCTAAAGATCTTCAATTTGAGCCCATATACGTTCAATTTCATTTATTTGTTATTGCAAAAATGACGAACGAAGGTCAAAATTAAAAAACGTAATATTAATTGCAAAATTGCTTTTTTATTTATTTCAAATGTATAACATTCAAGCCTGTAAAATTACAAATCGAATGAGCTATAGTAGGCCTAAACGAAGCACCGCTAAGAGAAAAGGTTATACCTTTTAATGCGAAACTTGCAATGATGTATGTAATAGGAACGTCATGTAACAAGGAAATGCCCGAATTACAAAGGCTACTAACATCTGGATGTGAATAGTTAATAGTTAATAATAGACATTGTTGGATGAAGTACAAACCACATAACTTTAAAATTGCATAAAAATAATCCGCATAAAAAGAGATGAAAACACCACTGAAATTCTAAAAATCATACATCAAGCTGAATTTTGTTGGGAATGTCAATTCCCAAAATTCGTCAAAAAGACGATCCCAAAAACAATGTTTCCAACAATAAATATAGCTGAGATAATTATGAATAAAAATGTTTACTAGCATGAAATGAATATTAGCATCATATGATGAATGGTGAATTTACCATATCTCACCTTATTATACACCTTATTATACACTGTTTATTGGTAAAATTCAATATAAATAAATTAGTAACTTGATTTTCAACTTAACCCAAGATTCGGTTTAACAATATAAATGGGTTTATGAACTAAAACACCACTTTAAATAGACCAAAGATACATAAATAATGATTCCTTTCTATTATTTTGAAGTGGAACTGACATGGATCCCATGACACACACTTATTACTGGAAACTACAAGGCTGACCAACTTGCCAATATAGGTCGTTCCCTGAATATCCCCATGAATATCAAGCAATACTTAAAAAGAGAGATTTGGTCTTACTGGGCAGCTGAATGGTACGAATGATATGGTACAAGTAATTAATTCTATGTCAAAATTAATAATTGAATCCACACACTACCATGGTTCAATAAATTCGCATATATCAGTAGGAGCCATTTAACTACAATCATCCGTATGAGAACGGGTCACTGCTCATCCCCTCTTCATCTATTTAGAATTGGAGTCAAAGATGATCCTTATTGCGAATGTGGCCAAGTGGGAGGCTAAACCGTATTTTATTAGAATGTCGCTTAAACCACAACCCACATTTCGACTTGTATGCCGAATTAGCTAAAACTAAACTTCCCACTCCCATAAATTTTTGCACAATCCTCACAAATATTAATGAAAATACAATAATCACCTTATGCAACTTTATTTCTACCTTCAATATTAAATTATAAACTATGATCATCCTTCTTTCAGTCCTGGGTGCTTCTACGTTATCCGTCGGTAGTGTAGCATTTCTGAACCCCCGAGCCAGAAAAGTTTATACCTTTGTGTGTTGTCTTACTAAAATTTTAGCCTATGAAGAATATATAGAAAAAATACCAGCACAAGTATACATGTAGAATAACCCAACACAAACAAAGGAAGAATATAAGTGTAGATAGACACTGATTGCTGAAGCAAGACAAAAACTGTCTGCCCTCGAAGTAAACTGGGTAAATTGTCTAGAACATAGCCCAAAAAAAAACAACAAGAAGAAGTGGAACTAACAAACGGAAGTAAAGAGTTGCCAACATAAACAATTTTGTCGGTAGTTAAGTTCATAGACATTTATATGTCTGTCTATAGTTAAAGGGTTTTAACACGGGGGGTATACTGAACGACTAATGGGTATTTTCTGCAACCTGTAAAATTTGGGATATATTTTAAAAATCTATTTATATTACTAACTATTTTATCAAAACACTTATTTTGGTATTGTTGTGTTACAGGAGAAGTACGACAACAACTGGTGGATCGGCCGATTGGTCAAAGAAGGCTGTGACATCGGTTTCATCCCCTCTCCTGTCAAATTGGAGAACCTGCGACTGCAGCAGGTGCAAACGAGGACGACGAAATTGTACTCGAGCAAAACCAGCTCGAGTTCGAACATCGGCGCCTCCGCCGGTAACGATGTTTCCAGAGGTAGCACTCCTCCCACACCCGGTATGTCTTGTCCTATCCGGAAAATCACTGTGTCGGGTCTAGAGATGGGTGGTTTTTTACGACCTGTGATTTTTACACTGATATCGATCAACCATTGACCGCACATATTATCAGTTATCAAGAAAAAGTGACGTAACTCGTGATTTCATACAAAGTACATACTCATGACATTTAGCATTCATTCTATATAAATTTTAGTCATAAGTAAAATCCTTGTTTTATAGTTTTCTTAAAACTAGTTTAAACAAAGCTGCTCATCACAATTTTTGTTACCTATAATGACTGACGGACAAAAAGCTTGTACTTTTTCATAATTTAAATTCCAACTTCGCCTTCTAGCGCCGTCTCCACTAATGGAGGTTGGTTATAACCATTGCAAATTCGTCTCTATCTTCTGCTTTTCTTAAGAGCGTCTTTGTTTTTAACCCGGTCCAGTCGCGAATGTTTTTCAGCCAGGATATTTGTCGTCTACCAGGACCCCTTTTTCCTTCGATTTTACCCTTCATAATCATTAACTTTTAACATAACGTGTTACATGTAGCAATCTGGCCAATAGAAACTGAGATATGTAGTAATGCCGTTTTGGCAATGTCTTTGTGTCTATTTTTTATCTTGACGTATTCATTATCCTCTCACCTTATACGTTGCAATCAGATCAATAGCAACGAAGATACGACATAGTACCGTTTTGGCATTGTGTTTGCGTTTATTTTTTTATCTTAACATATTCGTTAACACCTTCTCTTTCCATTGATACCTTGCATGTTGCTGTAAGTTGAGCCGTTTAGACGTTACAAGGTTAGTGTCCTTTTGGTTATACGCCACCATGTTATTTTTTAGGTTTACGTATTCTTTTGCCCTTCCCTTTTCCATCGATACCTTGAACGTTGTTGTACGTTGAGCTGTTTAGACGTTACAAGCTTAATGTCCTTTTGGCAATACGCTGTTTTTTTTCTATCTCAACGTGTGTATCCCATTTTCTTATGGAGATTTAAATACGAAAATGACCTGTTTTGTGCTAGAAGCCGTGCTGTCCTTTTACTTATGAGATTCTTCTTCATCACTCGGGATGTATTCTGCACCTGATAACAAAAATTCATCAGAATTCTCCACCTTTAACAATTGGAGCAACTCCATCTCTGTCAACTTTTTATTTTTATTTGGCATACGCTACGCTTTACTTGTAATTGCCAAATTATCCATGATATGAAAGACAAATTTCAATTAAAAAAAGTAACTTTACTACCACCATTTTTCATGAATTAAATGTAAGCAAAAACATTTGAGGTTATGTAAAATAAATACTGTAACTTTGTTTATCTTGTAAGTAGTGTATTTGTTAATTTTTAAACAAATACACTACATATACATAACAAAAGAACATAAGCAAGCTATGGTTTCCTAGTGTGCCACAATTACTATTTGAGCGTCCTTACAGTGCTGGCCGTTATAATAATTCTGAAAGTTAAATAATACCAACAACAATTATCCTTGTGGCAGCCAATGTGTTAAAACCAATAAATCCCAAATAAAACATTTGCTATTTTAAACACAGGTATAGATTATTACCCTCAACTAAATTAGCGCCACACGGCATTTTCTACATGAATACCTTCGAAAGCATTTTCGCGTTTGAAAATGCTCATATTACCCTTATCGATGAGTTTGCTTATACCTGCTAGCTTTGAATACTTTATTGTTTTATAAACAGTGAAAATTTTAAACTAAACCTATTTAAAATTTTCCAGAAAAACAAAAACATAACCTAAAAACTATTTTTAGCTTATATCGGATAGAAAAATGTCACTTAATGAAATACTGTTGGTTTAAATCATTCATTTAAACTAATATGTCAAAAAATTGTAAAGTAAAATAAAAATAAAATATATGTCACGAACTTTTCAGTCATCGCTATTATTCCCAGATATAGGTATCGTCTACTAGGAAAATTAGCACAGATGTTAATTGGTGCGGTCATATCCATAGAAACACAATGAAACAAATAACTGTAATCCTTCTAAACTATCTTTTGGTATTTTATTCTTCTGCTAATAATTCGTAAAACGTTGTCCTCAACATTCTCTTCGGTAAAGGCCCCTTATTGAACGTGAGAATATTTAGACTCCTTTTGTTTTTCGTTCTTCCTCTTATTCTTGAGAGACACATTCTATCTATAGTTGCCTATTTTCTAAAGATGTGGGCTACCAGATTGACCTATCTTATTCTATTCACAGCAGCTCGAAATAGATCAGTTGACGTTAGTCCAGACCATTTCCTAAGATTGGCCAGACAGGACATATGACTGCGTCCATGGGCTCTCTTGCCCTCAATATTGCCTTGTAGAATCAACTCTAGAAGTCGGTATTTACTATTACACATAACGTGGCTGAAGTAAGCCTTTACGGTATTAATAATTTCTTTGTCTTTTCTTAGCCTCAATGTTAGTTTTATGGTGTATATATGACACCCTTAACATACGTCGGTAGTACCATATTTCAAATGTCTCTAACCATTTTATGGCATGTTTTGTGAGACTCCAGCTTTCTACTCCGTAGAGGAGAACGCTAAAGACGTAACATCTAAGATTTTTTGCGCGTATATTGATACTTAAAGAATAGTTGCAGATAATCTTTTTTAAATATTGTTTGCTCTTGAGGCAAATAACTATCCAGTTTTTTGTAGTCGCAATGTAATAATCTTCAAAAACAACTTATACACGACTGATAACAGGCCTATAGTTTTCTAATTTATATCTATTCCCCTTTTTAAATATCAGTATTATAAGAGTATTTAACCAAGCTGCAGGTACTTCACTTATTTCTATAAATTTATTAAAAATAATCCTTAGCATTTTTATGATGTGTTGTCCGCAAATCTTTACCATTTCTAATACTATTCCGTCTTCACCTGGAGCTTTTTTATTTTGCATAGTACTCACTGCGTCTCTTATTTCGTCCTCTGTTATATCTAGCTTATTTTTAGATCTAACATTGTTTACTATTTTTCGGTGTTTTTCGTCTTTACCTGGTGGTGGTGGTGTTACTTTTGAACCGTCTAATGTTTGGTAGTAGTTTTCTATCATGGTGGTTATTTTTTGAATTTCGGTAATTTTCATCAATTACTTTTGTAATTAGATTTCTGTACAAGTACCTATTGGTCTACGCGATATATTTTCCCTCCTACCCACCGGTAAACCGTGTCGGGAATTCCCCTATCCGCCACCTGAGAAGGCGCTCTCTAGGGATTATAGGCTCGCCCCAGGGAGCGCAGGATGGGTCGAATAAAGTTTTTCTATATTGTAGAAACAAACAGCCCAGGATATGATACGATGTAGCAAAGAACAGGTATTTAACAATCGATAATCTTGACTGATTAGATATATGGATAGTTAAATCATTCACTACATTAGATACATGCAGATTTTTGTTATTGATCATATTTTACATCTATTTTTTAAACCTTTCATTTTTTTATATTTTTTTGTATTATGTTATTTCATTATTAAGTTAAATCATTCTATTTCTGAGACAAATTTGATATTGTATCAAAAACATAACCAGGAATCACGATTTAAATCGCTGTTAATAAAAAATCACATCAACGAATATCAGTGTGACGTTAAAATTACGGGTGCGCCCATCTCTAATCGGATTTATTCAGAAAATCGGCTCGATAATGATATATTCTAAAATTGGTGTTGTCGTGTGATCATAACTTTTAGTTAACTTTGTTTTTTTTTTTTGTTTTTGACTAGACTTTTTCTGTATATTATAGATTACTGTTTTCGAAATAAGCAAGCACTATATAAAAACCAAAAAACATAAATAATTAAAATAAACATGTATTTATATAAACTCCTCGAAAAATTAAGGCACTGTTAACAGTTTTTTGAACATTTACAGTTGATCATCACTTTGAGTAAATTGAATTTCATGTAAGTAGAATTTCGAAACCTTCTGTACTTAATAATAATTTGTAACTACTAATTTAAAACTCATAAATCCTTGAATACATTAAGTTCTTCTGTAAACTAAGCTTACTCAGACATTTTATGTTACTATAACGCTTTGGTAACTGTCCAGTGGAAAACAGAATGTTGAATTCGTCCAGTTACTTGTTGGTTAATGTTACTAGGACTTTCCGTGGTTTTAGTAAAGAACTTAAGACCGTAAATGAAACTTTTTAATACTTCTACGTAAATGTAAAGGTAAAAATATAAAAAAACTTATTTTGTTTGTAATAATGAAATAAAAATAAATGTTACAAATTTATTACAAACACATGTTTGTTCGACGTTTTTAAACAGAAAGTCTTGTCCTGTCAACAGGACTGATTTCAGGGTTGATTTCAGACAGATATCTTCTCGATAAGCCATGGCGGGACTGGTTATCTTACCCTTGCGACAAGTTGTCGCAAATTTTGCAAAAGACGACAGGGGCGCCGTCAGGTCATTTAGGTTTTAACAAACGCTAATAGAGCTGAAGAGCATTTCATTTCAGTTCAAGCTACCACAAGTATTCCCAATGAGAGGTGAAACCTCGAAACACGTGTAAAAAATGGTGGAGCTGGAACAAATGCAATCGTCTACTTTTATTTCAATGTCTTTTATTTATGTAAACAGTGCAGAAGATGATGTTTTTCAAGGATACACTGTAGATGTATTTTCGAAATAAAATCGAATGTGTGGTATGATCGGTTTATATTAGGTGAAGGTTTTTCAACTGATGTCAGTGATAATACATTTTTTTATAAAAAAAAAATACAAGTAGGTGGTATAGAATTAAAACAGCTTTGTTTTTGGCTTCCATTATATGCAGTTTCATGTTTGTTTTATATTAATGTAGCTATTCGTTATTTAGCTTAAATAACATTCATACAGTAATTTTGCGAATAAGTAAAGTGTTAATTACTATTAAACTGAGAATAAGCCACAATTAAAGATAAAAATACGTTTATTGACGTTTCAATTTCCACTTCGGAAATCGTTTTCAAAATACAAA